CAGCTGCTACCTGCTGAGGAATGGCAAGTATGACTGGCAGCGAAGATGATGACCGTGATGGATTATGGCGTTGATCATAACGTGACCACGCTGACAATGGGTATGATCCCTCTTGAAGAGAGTGACTGTGACTGCACTCACGATGCCCGTCAAATGTGCACAACCAGAATGAACCTCCCCCCGTAGCATTCGTCACTCCCCCACCTTCTCTTCCTACCTCTCCTCGCCCTGCTCACTCCCCCTGCCCTGCACACCCACTCTATATCCTCTTACCCATACTCCACTTGACATGAATCTGGCCGGACCCTTTGGCCAGATGAATGTGACTTTGAACTACCGTTGGCAAGGCATACGGGCGAAGACAAACAATGACAGGGAAGTCACGAGCAGTACCATGATCAGCACAGACAATGAACACTCCAAGGATGAACCGTATGACGATGACGAGCATCACGATGAGAACCCCGATCATGACGAAGATCGGCCATCACCAGACTCTTTGAGAAGACTACAACCTCAGTTCCGGCAGCGGCTACGGACCCGTGCTACTACCCATCAAATATGCAAAAATAAAGATGTATCTTCCACTAGAACATGGCAAGATACGTTCTCCAAGACAAGTAAGCCCGTCTCCCTCTCTCTCTCTCTCTCACACACACACATATGTGTAAGGAGCAGGCTAATCACGTTGCCAACAACGCACTTCCCATGCGAAGGAGGGTTATTTCCTCGAGCACCACAAAATTCGAAGTCGACAACCGCGAGCAACTGTGCGGTCGAAGAATGGTACCAGGAGCGTGAACTAGTCGACAAGCAAAGTGCGAGCACGACAACTTCGGCGGTCTTTAAGAACAATGCGATCACCCGTTCACAATGACGATGGCGATAAGTGCGATCAAAATGATGGAGCCTGCCGCTATCATCCCGCCGCTCTACTCACAAACATAAAAGTGAAGCTTTCCCCAAAACACAGGAAGATTCATCTTCCATCAGTCCGCCTATATACAGCGTGGCCCTCAACCTCACGCAGCACCAAGATCGTGGCMCCAACGCAAAATCCGACGCTGCCATCAGACTCGCGATGGCCCAAAACCTCCMCTTCGCTTCTTTCCCCGGCARWTTYCGCCAGGAATCGAGCACGATGTCTATTTCTCATTCACGCCATATCCCATCTCCCCGGTACCTCCACGCAGCCTCTCATCCCTATAACGCCARAACTGTGGCCTTAACGCAGAATCCGCCATGTCCATTCAATCTGCAGCATGCCAGAATCCCCATTTCGCATGTTTACTCGTTTGATTTGGTTGAGGAAMGGGCAAGTTACGTTATCTTTCCCTTTCGTCTTTCTCCTCCCCTAGCGTCTCCTTCTAGCTCGCCCTACCCAAAAACCTCCGAATAGCTTCCTCCCACGCTTGATTCCGTTAGATATCGAGTAAAACATGACTTTTCCCATTTTACCATATCCATTCTCCCCTGCCTTCATCACTTCCCTCACCTGTCTCCCCGTATCTGGTCCTGATTCCGGCCAGATTCACGCACCTCATTTTTGCCTGCTCTGTCTCTCTCCTCACTTGCCTCCACTACTACCTACCGCTCTCTCTTCTTCTAACAACTTTGCTCCCTCCTTCGCCTGCCTTCCTTACTCCCGTCGTAGTCCCCTCTCCTACCTTTCTTTTCCTTTCTTCTCCCATCCGCCTTCTTCCTCGGCAGGTACTTTAGCGCAGCCCAGTTACATTCGGACTGCACTCATTGTTTGAAGAAACGGTGCGGAATGAACTAGCTACCATTCGGCCGGTAAGTCTTTCACCGCCTATACCCAAATCCGGCAGCAACTCAATATCAGAGAAAGGCAGTTTAGAAACAGCTAGTCTTCCAGCTTTACTCTTCACGTTCCATCATCTGGATTTGAACACAGGTCTGCATTTCAACAGGTCGTGGGTGTTCTAACTGAGCTTGGGTAGGTGCTCATCCCACACAGACTATTTTCCAACAGCCTGCGGGGGTACCACCCGAGCTCGGGTAGGTGCTCTTCCCACAGGGCTGTTTTTTTCAACAGTTTGTGGGTGTACCACCTGAGCTAGGCCCCGCGGCACTATTCCCACAGACCCCCTTTTCAACAGTTCGTGGGTGTACCAGCTGAGCTATGCCCACGGGTGCTGGTCCCACAGGCGTGTTTTTTTTTTGACAGCCTGCAGGTGTACCGGCTGTGCTTGGCCCACGGGTGCTGGTTCCACAGGTCTGTTTTTTTCAACAGCCTGCGGGTATACCAGCTGAGCTTGGCCTGCGGGTGCTGGTCCCACAGGCCTGTTTTTCAACAGCCTGCGGGGGTACCAACTGAGMTAGGCCCAGTGGCACTGTTCCCACAGACCTGTTCACACTCTAACTCTTAACAACCSATTGGCGGATGGTGMGCCTACAGTGTGCCCCCACCGGGGCTCCCTCTGGCTGTGACTTACCTAGGCACAGTTCACCCTTTTCCGGGCCACGACGGGCATGCTCTTACATCAGCCTCCCACAGCAGATCGCGGTTGGCGAGTGGTGCACTTGCAAAGTGCCCTCGCCACTCGGGTTTCTTTGCTCCGCGGGCTATGCACCCACCGACTCTCACGCACGTTGACCCGATTTGTTCGAGCACCAAGACGGGTAGGATAGAGGAACTTTGTCAGCATCCCGAATACGCAGGACCCCGAACGTCACTTGCAAAAAAAAAGGCGCGTACTCAAGGTCATCAACTGCCATGACGGTCACCTGTGGGGGAGAGTTCCAATCATTCCCCACTGCAATGCTGGTCACAGCAACCCATGCTGGCAGGCACCCAGCGTCCTGGCCAATGATGGCGGCGACCAAGTCGCCATCTGCCCTCGACCAGGTGTGGGTACACAACTTCTCTCTATCCGCTCATTGCTTAACATTTTCAGCGTTCTTTTCTTTCTCTTTGAAGTTCTTTTCATACTTTCCTCCGCGGTACTCCTTCGCCGTCAGTCCCGGAGCCAGTTTCCGGCATAGTCAACAGATGGAAAAATGGAGGGAAAAAAAAAAAAAAAATCAACAAAAATAAAAATAGTAGAATTGAAGAGGGCGAGGACCTGCCGACGCCCTGTTGGTCTTGGCAGTCGAACCCAGGCGTGGGCCCGTTCGGCAAAACCAAGGGGGATAGTCCCTTAAGACCCTCGACTCCTCAGTCTCAGTCTGTCAAGCCTCTTTGCTCCATCGCCGCTAGCTGACCTTGAACCCTAAACGTGTCGCTTGAACGTCCAGTACCGTAACCAATAGGGCTAAGCCGAAGCCTGAGTTAGGTAGGCGTGACCCTACATATGAATAGTTGTAGGACCCTAATTGGTCCCACCTGCACAAACCAGGCCTTCGCCTTGGCCTACCGGCCAACCTCCTAGCCGTCAGAAAATGCCGAGACGTTGTCCGCGCCTAGGATCGTAGCTACTTGGTATCTTGGTCGTTGGGCGCTCAACATATTTTCGTCAAACTTTTGACTTTCTCTCATACTAGGTTTGCCAACGCCGCGCCTTTCGACACGTCGCCCAACATAAACTTCCCGCGTGTGCGCAAGGTAAGGTTTTTACCCTGTTCATGACGCGTCCTGCTGGAGGCCGAACTAGTTGTGAAGTAAAGGTAGATGGATACTAAAAAATGAAAGGAAAATATAACCAAAATAAAAATTACAGAAGGTGGGTAACCGGACCCTATGGCTTTGGCACCTCCTGCCGGCGTTCTTCGGGCATAACCCACACCGACCTCAGGTTTGCTTGTCAATTTTCTATTCCGGTTCCTCGGACTGTGCTACGTGCGCTTTTGGTCAAGCTCATTCCTTGCTCGCTGGCCTAGCATCGCCGACGATTAATGGTCATCTTACTGTGCTACGCAATAATGCGAGCCCCACATACCCTCTAACTGGGCCATACCTGGCTCGGACTCTCGCCAAGAGCGAGGTTGCCGAGATGAGCGTCGTGACAGGATCTGTCCCATCAGTGCTTTACGTTTATCAAGGACGCACCCAGTGCGATCTTCAAAAACAACGGCACATACCCTTGTAAGGGTGTTTGCTACGACAGCGCAACACATCTCGAGCAGGTTAATTGTTTGTTGGTATGTGTTGGTGCGATGCTCAATTATTATGTTGCAACATCACTGATCGTCTTTCCGTCTTTGCGGAGTTTTGGCAGTTTGCATCTTTTTATAATCATTTTGTGGAGTTGATTGAATGAATAGGGCTTTCATGCCAGCTTAGATGCATGTTGTACATGCTAATCATTGTAGTCAATGACTCGATACGGAGGGAGACCGACAGTCCATTTGCAGTGGCCAGGCTGATCTTCTCTGTCTTGTTCCTTTTTTTTTCTCAACTCTTTTAAACCACTAGTACCTTTGGCGCGTGGGAAAATAGCGGGCCTTGGTTGGGCCTCCGACCTTTTCGGAGGCCGAAACGAAACGATGGCCGCCGATCAGATTTATCAATGGCAGCCGTCGTCAGGCCCGGCCTCCGAAACTTTAGGAGTTTGGGAAAACGTCCACTTTTCCCTATTGTCCCACGCGCCAAAGGTACTAGGGCTTCAAGTTTTAACTTTTAACGGATGCTCCAAACGCTTATATGGAATTCGCTTGTATGTCGGTATTCTACTGTTCTCCAAATTCTTTTGTGAGCGTATGTCATTTGGTTGTTGACCATTCTCTCTTTTTTTTTTTTTTTTTTTTTTTTTTTTTTTTTTTTTTTTTTTTTT